TTCATCATCCTGGCCGCTCACAAGCTAACTAACCTGAACCACTGGTACTTTATGATCCCAGCTTTTGTGGTGGGGTCGCTTTTCTGGTCCATCAGCCACATGGTGTTTGTCATTACTGTGTGGGGCTTTCACACCAAGCTCAGTGACTGTCAGAGGCTGTGCTTGTCCCAGGGAACAGGGGTCAGCGGACTGGACAAGATCATGGCCTCAAAGGGCATGAGACACTTTTGCCTCATCTCTGAACGCCTGGTGCTCTTCACACTGGTGTCAACTGTTTGTATTGCTGCTCTTTGTTGGCAGGTATGTGCAGCTAGACAGCATATCAACTTTATAAGAAGATACGTATCATATGATCTGCTTTATCACAGGGTTTTATGGTGGCAAACAGGGCAATACGACAACCACAAAAATAGAATTTCATGGTACAGATGTACAAGAAGATTCATCAGTGACTAAAAGTAAGACATGCTGTCATTAGGGCTGTCAGTATCTAATGAATACCTCAATTATAGTTTAAGCTGTCATTTATTTTCTAATAAATTTTATAAAATGAGGAAAAACAAGTTCTTAGAATGCAAATTAGTTTGGCTAACCAACAGTCCAAACCCAAAGAATTTAATTTACAATATGGTATAGTCCCATCACAGTCAAAAGCAGCAAATCATCAAACTGAAGAAGCTAAAAGATTTATAAACCACATCAGCTAGAGAATGCATTCTTACACACTTATTTGTTAGATTAAAGTTGCATACTATTGTTTCATAGAAGTTTTCTTGTATTCCATTGACTTCTCTAAATGTGCTTTGCAGGCCTCCAGCAGCACCTTTGTCAGCATGTTTCTGCTCGTGCTGCCTTTAGAGTCTCTGTTTCATGGGATTTTCCATGAGCTTGGGAACAGCCTAGGAGGAACCTGTGTGGGCTATGCAGTGGTCATTCCCACCAACTACTGCAGGTCAGTCTACTGGCAGAGAACGAAACCAGTGCCGGTCATATGAACTTAGGATATTAGTTAATTTTTTACAAAAGTTATGACAACGGATTTAAGAGCTAACTAAACTTTTAAATCAATACTTTATTTCTTATTTTTAAGTGCATCTTACCACACAAGGAAAAGACATGGCTGTTCTGTGCTACTTCCTGTATAGTATGAATTATACAATTAAAAATGGACATAAAATAACTAAAGTTAAATCTGGCAGGCAGATGCTACATTTAGGCATTAAGTTGTGGCAAATATTTTAATCCAAGGAGTTGGAGAACTGTGCTTCAAGGCTGATCATCTACAGTAAACAGACAAGATGCATTCACTTTATTTTATTTGCGTTTGTCCTGTAGTCCTGACGGTCAGCCCATGCTACTGCCTCCAGGCCAGGTGCAGGATCTAAACAAACGCTCTACAGGCATGTTGAACAACGTGCAGCGCTTCTTCGCCCACCACTTGATTGAGACTTTCGGCTGCGACTATTCCACCAGTGGGGTGACCCTGGAGGCTTTGCAGGCAAAGATCAAATCCTTCTTGGATCTTCGCACAACTGACGGGCCTCGCCATGACACCTATGTGATCTTCTACAGCGGTCACACACAAAGAACGGGAGAGTGGGCATTGGCAGGTAAGAGGAGCATCAAGTATCAGTATCTCACCTTTTTAATGCTAAAAACAAGATGGGTGCACTGTTTGATTGTATAATAATGGATAATGAGAGAGTTGGTAAAGTATTTTTCTTTCAGAATAAGTAATTTCATACTGTTGCAGCTCATTCTAGACTTTAGAACTCAACTAAGGATGTTAATTATCTTGGCAGCTTAGATAGCAGTGCCTTTTACAGTTTTATAGCTCTGGTCATACAGGAAGTGAAAAACAGATTGCCTTATGTCTACACTATAAAACAGAGATTTTCAATCAGTGGTCTGTGAAGGCATTACAGGTTCATTCAATAATATAGTCTCACTGTAGGAATTACACATTTTTAAATGCATTTCAATTTCTTTAATTATTGTTTGTGAATAGTCATTCATGCAAATATAAGGTGAATTTCAAGGTGACTCATCCACCCAACAACAGAAGGGTGTATTGATATTATTTACTCTGGATTTGCATTGCCGTGAAAAGTACTTTGGTCGACCAGACGTTGTTTT